ATCCCTGGCAACCACCATTCTACCCTTGGTTTCTATGAGACTGACTGTAACATTCTATATCTGGATGGGATCATATAGTATTTGCCATTGTCTGACTTACTTCACTTAGCATAATGCTGTCCAGATTAATATATGTTTTTGCAAATGGCAAGATACAATACAAAAAGTACTTTTCGTATGGTGAATGGTAATCCGTTGTATATATGTGCCACATTTTCTTCATCAATGCATTGAGTGACATTTAGATAGTTTCTTTATCTTTGCTATTATGAATAACTGTGATAAACATGGGATTGCAGATAACATGTTCTAGGAAATAAGGAAAACAATCCCATTTTAAAAAGTATCAAAAAGGATAAAATACTTACAAATAAATTTAACCAAAGAGGTTCAAGACTAGCATGCTGAAAACTATAAAACTTTGATGAAAAAAACTGGAGACACAAAGCAAGGGAAAGATATCCCATATTCATATATTGAAAGAGTTCATATTGTATCCTCATATTAACCTGAAATTAAAAAAGGAAAAAGTTCATATTGTTTAAATGTCACTATTGGAATGACATTGGCAATCTGGCCTGCTAGATTGTTCCTCCAACAAAAACAGCCAAAGGAATGACTAGCTACATTTTAATAAGAGTAACAGAGAGCACCAGAGTACATCAAAGGAGTAGCAGAAGCCCTGCATACTACAAACCCCAGGATTGGCTCGGCACCTGAGGCTCAAGTGGCTAAGGCACCAGCCACATACACCTAAGGTGACAGGTTTGAATCCAGCACGGACTGCCAAAACAACAATGACGGCTACAACCAAAAAATAGCTGGATGTTGTGGCGGGTGCCTGTGGTCCCAGCTACTTGGGAGGCTGAGGCAGGAGACTCGCTTGAGCCCAGGAGTTGGAGGTTACTGTGAGCTGTGATGCTACGGCACTCTACCCAGGGGGACAGCTTGAGGCTCCTGTCTCAAAAAAAAAAACCAGAATTGCCACATAGAGAATGGAAGGAAATGCCTTACCCCTGCCACCTCATTCCCTGCTTGGAATCAGGTCAGAACCAGGAGAGACTGTCACTGCAGGGAAAAGGTAAATGAGAGGCCTCCAGCAACCCCCATCACCTCCTCAGGTACCTATAGTCCTCCACCCTGGGGAGTCCTAAAATCCTCACAGGTGCAAAACCCAGCAGAGAGAGGAGCTTTTTTTTTTAAACTTTCAGATTAATTCGAGGGTAAAACAAGTAGGTTACATTGTTTGTTTGGCAAAGTCCCTGTTGTAGTTATGCTCCTCAAACAAGAGGTGTGCCACAAACCCTTACATTATGCCCATTAAGTGAGAGCCCATCACACCAACCTCCTTCTCTCTTCCCTTCTCTCCCCTCCCACCTCGTCTCCCTCAACTCGAATTGAAATGAGTTTTTCTCCTGTGCAGGCATGTATTTGTCTACTGTCTTCATGTTTGTATTGAGCACACTGAATACTTGCTTTTCTATTCTTCGGATACTTTACTAAGGAGAATGCTCTCCACCTCCATCCAGTTTAATATAAAAGATGTAAACTCTCCAGGTACTCCATGGTATACATATGCCACAGTTTATTAATCCCTTCATGGGTTGATGGGCACTTGGGTTGATTCCACATCTTGGTAATTGTAAATTAAATTGTGATAAACATTCTTGTGCAAATGTCCTTTTGATAAAATGTTTTTTTTTTTCTTCTGAGCAGATGCTTAGTAATAGGATTGTGGGACCAAATGGAAGGTCTCTTTTGAGTTCTTTGAGGACTCTCCATACTTCTTTCCAAAGAGACTGTAGTAGGTTTGAATCCTACCAACAGCAAAAAAATGTTCCCTTCTCTCCACAACTGCATCAACATCTGCAACTTTGGGACTTTGTGGAGCTGTTCACACTGGGGTTAGGTGATATCTCCAGCGTGGTTTTGATTTGCATTTCTCTAATGATTAGGGATGATGAGCATTTTTCCATATGTTGGCCATTCCTGTTCTCTTTTGAGAACGTTCTGTTCATTCTCTTGCCCAGTGATAGATGTGTTTGTTCGCTCTTTTGTTGTTGTTGTTGTTAATTAATTTAAATTCTCTGTAGATTCTAGTTATCAACCCTTTGTCAGATTTGGAACATGAAAATATCTTTTCCCATTCTGAAGGTTGTCTATTGGCTTTAACTGTGTCCTTAGCTGTACAGAAGCTTTTTAGCTTAATTAAGTCTATCTGATGGAGTCTTCTCTAGAAAGTCTTTTCCCAGGCCAATATCAAGAGTTTTTCCCACACTTTTTTTCTAGGATTTTTATCATTTTGTGTCTTTGATTTAAATCCTTTATCCATCGTGAGTCAATTTTTGTAAGTGGTGAAAGGTGCAGTTCCAGTTTCAGTCTTTCACATGTGGTTATCCTGTTCTCCGGGTACCATTTGTTGAATAAGGATTCCTTCC